CACCAAACTTGTGAGGACTATTACACTAGAGGCATACAAAATAAAGCTCAAATGTAGCCAACAGCTCAAAACAGTCCTAAATTAGTCCAAAACAGGTCCTAAAATATGTTGGAATTAAGCTAGAAAAGGCTAGATTAATAGGCTAAAATAAGGAGCATGCTAGACTAGTAAGTAAGATACAAGGAGGGGAGGCTTACCCCTCCAAATTTGGACTTCAAAATATGTTTTTAGCCACTGAAATGCTCTGAAAAGTCTAAAAGAGATGATGCAAGCGTGGGAAACACAAGGGCAAAGGCCTCTAAAACAAGGTACAAAGAAGGGCTATTAACCCCTCAACCTTTAATGGCCTTAGGACCCAAGCTTCAACCCAAAAACATAGAGTTTTTATAGCCCAAAATCAGTTGGAAATCATGCTGGACTCAAGACACGAAAAGCCAAAATATTAAGCTAATGCATGGGGTTGCACTACAACTATGCAAAACAAGGCTCAAACAAACTAACAAGCCTAAAACAGAGCTAAAACAGGTTATTTCAGAGGCTAAAACATGCTGCACTTGAACTAAGTTAAGCTAGAAAAATATGCTAGCATGTGAAGCTAACTAGGCATGCAAGCAAGACACAAGGAGGGGAGGCTAACCCCTCCAATTTTGGACTTCAAAATAAGTTTTTTGCCACTGAAAAATCCCTAAAATTTAGTGGTTAAAAGGCCCAAAAAAAAATTTGATTTGAAGGTGATGAATAAAGAGACAAAAGCTTTACAACAAAGAAACAAGAAGGGTGAACCACCCCCTAACTTAAAATAGGCTCCAACGCCATTTTTACGTCATAAAACAGAGGGTTTATTTTTTCAGTTCAAAACCAGCCCCAAAATAGTGCAAAAAGATGGCAAAACAAATATGAAAAACAAACTTAAAGGGTAAAGGTTATACCTCTTGAAGGGAAGAGTGATTCTAGGCCACAATTCAAGCCGAAACCCACTTAAGGAGTTCCAAGAGAGCTTCAAGCAACCTCAGCCCAAAGATGAACCAAATTGGTTAAGGGTTGATAGTTTAAAGTTTGAAGTATTCAAGCTTCTAAGCACAAATGCTCAAGAGAGAGAGAGAAGTCTAGAGAGAAAGAATTGTAGAGAGAGAGACTCCCAAAATTTTTCCAACCTTGAAAAAAATAGAGAAGGTCCTCTATATATAAGAATATGTGAGCTCAGGTCGAAAATATCAAGCCCTGGACAGTTGGAGCTTTTGGGGGATAGCTGGCACAAAAATATCTTAGTTTTTCACCATTTGCCGACAAGTTTCAGTGGTGACCGGTTGGCCACCAAAAATCTACTTCCAGGCCCAACTTCAAACGGCCATAACTCCTTCATCTGGACTCCTTTGCAGGTCATTCTTGAGCCTAATTGAATCCCCGGAAGTTTAATTTCCAATGGAAGTAGCCTCACATCGAAATTATAAGTGTGCTAAGAGATATGCCTATTTTAGTGAAGGTTGCTCAGTTTTGGCTTAATCAGGTTGATGCCTAACTTCAACTAGCCATATCTCCCTCATCCGGACTCGTCTTTAGGAGATTCTTGAGTGAAAAATGATGCCCCGAAAGTCCACTTTCCAATGGTGGTGGCCTCACAACCAAAGTCCAAGTGTACAAAAGGATAGACCTGATTTAGTGAAGGCTGCCCTGTTCTCTCTTAGCGGTTTATGCCCAACTTCTTCACCAACTAGGTTTCTTCCCTCTCCACCAATTTTCTTCAACTCTAAACCTCTAAATAAGATGTTTTAAATTTTTTTTGAAAGAGTTCACCTCTCTTTTATTTATTTTCACTTTGTCCTTGCTCGGTTTACCGAAAAGCGCAACATTTAATGAAATGCAAGTCTCAGAACATCGTAGAAACTTTTTCAAAAATATTTTGAAAAAAAGAGGATTTTAAGGTCTAAAAATCATTTTGGTCAAAATAGTTTTGGTCCAAAATGAGGTGTAAGGTTGGGATTTGACGCTCTCCTTGCCGAAGAAATTGACCCTTTGCATAGCATAACTTTCATCCTCGAGTGATCAATCAGTCGCGCACAAGTCTTAAGGGTGGTAAAAAATGGGGAGTCTACACATCGTTTGTTAAAATTTTGATACCTCATTGAGTAGATGTCTGTATGAGTTAGAGTTTAATTTTTTATTTTTATTTTAACTTGCTTTTAATTTGCCCTTTTGGAATACAACAACTAGAACCAAAGTGAAAACAAAAGGTGACTGCTTGCAAGCCATTCATCTACGCAACCTCTCAATTCTCACGCGCCAAAACAATTTGATTGCATTGTCTCACAATGAATTTTCACAGTGTGATTTTCCACTATGATAGTAAATGAAATCTCACGTAAAATTGATCATTTTGGAACTCTTAATTTGAACCTTTTAGTGATAAATTTGGAATTATGGGCCTAATTTTTATAATTAGTCACCAATTTTAGAATTTTTAGTGCTGAAATAGAAATTCTATTGACTTCAAATAGAGTCCGTAAAATTTCACTGTGCAAAATCAACAAAACTTAGCAATTCCAAATCCAAACAAATTATTATATATCAATAACATATATGTCTCAATATTGCGCCTAATTTAACCCTTCCAAATTTAACTTTAAAAAAAAAAACAAAAAAAAAGGTTAAATTTCAAGCTCATCCACTTAACTTGATATAATTGGGATTTTTGTGTGAACTATTAAATAAATTTTATCCCTATTACCACAAGTGTTTGAATTTGAACATTTGACCACATATTTGAATTTTAGTCTTTACATTTATACACCTGTAAAAGTGAAATATTTTGTAATTTATTGCATAACTAAATAGTAAAAAAAATTAAAATTTTATAAATGAGTTGGTTAAGATGGACACTCCCATTCCAAAATCTGTTTGAAAAATAAACAAGTTCAAAAACTCAAATTAACATTATAAATAATTTTTTTTTCTTCCGTAAGTTTTAAAAATACAAATTGAACTGAACATATGAACTTACAAAGAAATCATTTGACAAATGATAATTTTATCCAAAAAAAATAATTAATTAATTAATTAATTGATACAAAAAAAGTGAATTTGTTTTTTCCATTCACCTTTACAAGTCCCATTCATTATAATTTTTGCATGTTTATTTATAAAAAAAGAAAAAAATAATAACAAACATATTTCACCTCATTTTTTAACCAAAAAAAAAGTTTAAAATACTAAAAAAAACTCAATATTTACATTAATAAAATTTTTTTTAATATATTTATCAAATGTAAATTGGGCTCCCAAATTCAATCATGCTGCGTCGCCCGCGACACACAATAATAGCTATCGAAAGTCCGATGAGACGGCAAGTGCAAGTGAGAAACTTCTACTTAGTTCCGGTCTGCCGAACCAATTCCATAGGTACTATAGAATGACATAATTTTATATTTTCTGAATTATAATTAAAAAAAATATTATAACCAAACAACATGAAGTGTAATAAAAGATTTCTCATAAATAAAATAAGGTCACAATTAAAAAAAAAAAAAAACAAAAGAGACATAGTTTAGGGATGCATATGGTAGGAGGTGTGTATACTAGAATTTCCTCTATCTATATATTTATATGGGTTTAGGGTTTAGGGAGACAATGAAATAAAATATGTTTGGTTTAGAATTTTTTTTATATTTCTTTTTAATCAAAATAGAAAATATGTGTAAAATCATTTCAAAAAATTCATTGAATACAATTTTTTTTTTGGGTACATTTTCATATTTTGTCGTATTTTAATGAATGTTTTTAAAGATTTTTGTATAAATGCTAAAAATCCCCTATCTATATATTTATATGGGTTTAGGGTTTAAGAAGAAAATGAATTAAAATCTGTTTGGTTTGGACTTATTTTTTCTTTTTCAAATCATATTTTTTTATTTATTTTTAATCAAAATAGAAAATTTGTGTAAAAATCTTCTAAAAAATTCATTGAAAACGACAAATCTTTTTTTGTGTACATGTTCATATTTTGTTGTATTTTAATGATTTTTTAAAAGATTTTTGTATAAATTATATATATATATATATATATTTAACTGTATCTAAATTAAGTGGATTTAAAAAATATAAAAAATTGATTAAAATGTTAAATTTTTTTTACTAAAAATAAAAAAAAATATATGGATTGAAAATTCGGTTTTAGAAAATTCCAAACCAGACAGATTGTGTTAGGCCAATAAATAAAAGAAAAATTCTATTATCCATTGAAAATTCCCTCAAACACAACCAAGAATTTTTAATTATTTTATAATGCTTTTATTTCAGTTGGAATTTGGATGTATAATCTGTGATCATACTTTGTTTGGTTGATTAGAATACTGATGATGCTAAAAAAAAAAAAAAGGAATACAAAAACTCCTATCTGATTTGTTTAAATGGAGGAACAGAAATCACCTAATTATTAGAAATTGTTTGCAGCAGACTTAGTTGACTGGACTTATTTACCTATTTCCTTTGGTTTTCTTTTATGTTTTGGTTAGAAATTTTGCCCATGTTTTCTCAGTTTCTGATGAGGGTTAAGGTTTTCCATATTCATATCCCAAAATTTTGAGAATATATATGTGCTGCTTCTGCTCTCAATGTTGATTATATAATGTATGCTTTGCTTCCCAAATTGGCAATTATGAATTCATGGTTGATTCATTAGGCCTTTGAAATATAAGCAAAACGTTGCCTGTCAGGATGAATATATGTATTCAATGACCATCCAGCAATACAAAATAAGTTATTCTAAAGAAAAGTTAAGGTGATTCCTAGGTGGGTTTCTGGATTTATAAGGCAGAACATGTCTGGAATTATATTAATTATATTATTCCATATTTTTTAATTCTGATGTTGGCTTGTACTAACGGAAACTTAATCCTTTTAAAAATTGTCCCCAAAATTTTAATCTGTTAGGAAATGCGTCCACCATTGTATATGAATGAGCTAACAAGCATATGCTATGGACTTTATATATTATGGAGTCGACCATGAAAATCCAATGGCTAACACCAGGACAGTCAATCACAGCTTCCGACACCATTGTATCTGCAGGAAATGTCTTCAAGTTAGGATTCTTCAGTCATTGGAATGGAAGCTGTACAATGAATTACATTTTTTGCTAGTTCTTGTCGACAGGTGGTCTAGTCAATTGAGGACACGTGGCTAAGTCTAGGTTGGATAGTTGGCATCAGAAAACACGGGTCATCAGGGTTTGTGCCTATGGGTTACTAGTAGTGATCATGGACTTAGTGGGCAATCCTCTAAGAGGAAGCATGAACAAAGTGGAAGTCTTTTTCTGTCGAGGGAAGGTTAGAAGGGCTTGTAGGCACGTGATAACTTGGGGAAGGGGCAATTCGACAGACAGAAGTGAAGGTCTAATGTGATTGGAAGGCCTAGAAGCCAAGACCCAATTGCAGCAGTTACACATCAGCAGTTGTAGATTGAAGAGATCATGGGATATGGGAAAGAAGAAGTATAAAAGCAAGAAATTTGCAGAGAGAGAGAGAGGACATCAAGAACAACACAACAGCTTAGTTTTATCTTAGGAGTAGCTTTATTTAGACTTAGGAGTAGTTTCAATTGTAATTTAGGAGTAGTTCGTTCTATTGTAACTTGTACTTTTTTTAGTGAACTTCAGTAATTTCAGTATAAAATTACTTTTGTTTATTCAAATCTACTTTGCTACCATTAGTTGATATAAAAAGTGTGCTCTTTCTTCTTGTTTACTTTGCTACCATTGATCTATAGAAGGTCTCATTCTTTTGAGGCATTCGAACCAAAACCACAATCGCCTAATTATTCTTGTTTAAATTGTTCAGTTTGAATTATTGCTTGGTTGCTGTCGATCTAATCCCGGCATAATTTTTACTAACAATGGTACAAAAGAATTTCGGTACAAACTGTTGCTTGGGTAGCCAACCGAAATTACCCACTCACTGATTCTTCTGCGGCTTTTAGCATCAGTGATGATGGAAACCTCGCGATACTAAAGGGAAAAATTTTTTACATGTTGACTAACATATCATCAAATGGTAACACTAGTGCTACCCTTTTGGATTCAAGAAATCTTGTTTTGAGAGATAAGACATCTGGTGAGTTACTATGGCAAAGCTTTGACTACCCTTCACATACTCTCTTGCATGGAATGAAGCTTGGTTAGAGTATGATCAATAGAAAAACCTGGTCTTTGATATCCTGGAAAGGCAGGGAAGACCATGGCCCTGGAGTTTTCTCTCTGGAATTTGATCCTCAAGGCATGCCCCAGTTCTTCATCTTGAAGGGATCTCAAAAGTATTGGACTAGTGGGGTATGGACTGGACAAAGTTACCGAATGATCCCTGATATGAGAGCTCGCAATATACACATCACCTATGTTTTCGGCCCGTGGTGGAGCAATTTCACTTACTTTGTTACTGATGCTTCCGTCACGAATATATTTGTGTTAGATGTATCAGAGAAACTTCAACTGCTGTCGTGGTCTAAAACTACTCATCAATGGGATTTGTTTTGGTCTCAACCGAGCCAGCAGTGTAGGGTTTATGCCTACTGTGGGGCTTTTAGCATTTGCATTCAAAAGGCCCTTCCATTTTGCCAATGTTTGTCGAGTTTTGAACCCCATTCTGTACGAAATTGGAATGCAGGAGACTTGTCAAGAGGGTGTGTGAGAAAAGCCCCTTTACAATGTGTCATTGATAGTCATGCCAATGGACATAGTGACCAGTGAAAAACCTAAGTGATTCGTGATTGGATCAAGATTTAATTGTAGCAACTCCCAAACAATTAAAATTAACAATCTAAATCATTAAGCACGTACGAAAGTGATTTAGATTATTGTTTCAAAAACAATAAATAGACATAAACGATTTTTACATGGAAAAAATCATTATCGGAGCACCTCCAATTGTGATTAAAAAACCACGGGCAAAACGCCACAAATCAAACCACTATGGAGCAAAGAAAGAATACAAAATCCCCAAACAAATTACCCAAACTCTATCAATTTGTCTTCAACGCTTTGTATATCTTCCACCGCAACCTTCGTCTCAAGATTGATTAGATTGATGTTGATTCCACAACATCCACGTCGACTCAACGACCGTGCACAACTTCGAATACCTTCGAACACTCTATGCTTGAATCTCTGGATTCCACAGAAGAAGAACACTCTTGAAGATGATCACTCAAACAACCCTTTGGTGTGAATTATCAAAGCATGTGAGTTTAATACTCAAGTAAACATCAAAGGAAAACTATCAAAATAACCTCTAAAAGAAAACCCTAGAGTCTCAAAACAGATCTAGAAGCATTAAATCTAAAAACAGACCTAAACACACACACACACACACACATATATATATAGAAAAGAAGCGCCACGTACCCCGCTCAAGCGCAAGACTTGCCGCTCAAGCGGAGTCACTAAAACGCATGCGATTAAATAGGTCTCCGCTCGAGCGTTGGAACTCACGCTCGAGCACAAAAACACGCCTCCTAGTATTTGTGTAAACAAGCCAAACTATTGAGAAGGTGTAAACTTTGCTTGAGCGCAAATGTTCCCGCTCGAGCGGGAAGACTAAAACCAAAGAAAAAATTACAACTCCATTAAACAGAGTTTGTTCGCGAAATTGGCAACTAGGGACCTAACAATCTCCCCTTTTCTCAATTCCCGAACAAAACTTTTCTAACAATTTTTCCTAAACACACACACACTAGACACACCCTATCAGACAAATATATATATATATATATATATATTGTAGAACACAAATGCTGAGTTAGTAGAGAAACACTGAGAAACATGTCGAACAATCCACCTGTGGAAATGACCAAATACCAAAAAAAAAAACTAAAATTGTGGAACGAGATGAGATACAAATAGAAATAATGCGTGAATGTAAAATAAAAACCCACAACCATCGCATTTCCAAGATCCAAGATATCTCATAATCCATAATCCAAAGATATGTGTGTTTGCGTCTAACATGTACAAACCAGTAGCCAACAATATCCAAAAATAACAAAAACATGCAAAAATATCCAAAATCAACAACCACCATAAGTTTAAACTACTCGCCCTTTTTGTTCGGGAGACAAGAAGACAAAAGAGATAAGAAAAAAACTGTCCAAAAAGAAACTGAAAAAGAAACGAACTCAAGGATCGGGTGGCGGTGGATGTGGCTGCTGCAACTGAAGCAATGCAAGAATCTGATCCAGCTGTAGAGTGGTCTGGGCAGCTAACTGCTCAAGATGGCCAAGTCGACCATTGAAAGGATTCAGACGGGCATCCATGTAAACCAACTGCTGAGTCAAGGACTGCTCAAAGCGATGAAGCTGGTCACGCATAGTCCGGGGAGGTACATCTGGCTCCTCTGTGTCTGCTGTGGCAACATCAATCTCAACCTCCTCTGCCATAAGATCAGCATCACCTATAAAAGAAAGACCTACCCTAGAAGACTCCCCCTTAACATGTGCACGACTTTGAGACACAATTTTCTTAGTAAAGGGTTTATTGGGAGTGACATACTCATCATCCTCAAAAACTGGGATCTCAAGTCTAGATAGAAGACGGTTGATCGAACAACCATAGGGTAACCCTAACTGTTTGTTCCCAAAAAGGGCAATCATTTTGCAAAGAATAAGGGTGACAAGATTGATGGAGAGATGGCGAGCTATGCAAAAGAGAACAAAACCTTGTTCTTGATTGATTTCAGAACAATGAGTGGTGACGATGATATTTGCACAGACAATAAGATTGAGCAGACGAAATTGGGGAAGAAGTTCAAACTGTTTAATCAGAGTCCCCTTGACCCAACTATGGGCATACCACACAAAGCAGTGACCACCTCGTTGAAATTACATGATAGTGCTCCGGAAAAACATGGTCGATGCCTAAAAGCTCTCTAATAAGATCAGGGGTAATAGAGATAGACTTAGATCGAACCCAGGTCTAGAAGGAAGGGCCAATATCATTAATACCCTCAATGTTACAAAAAAAAGTCGCAAACCCAGTCAAGGTTTTGGCGGCCAGAGAAAGATAGAACTAAGTCACCTCCTAGCAGATCGAACAATGGTTGAATGAGAATGGACTCAAAAGTGTTGGGCTGGAAATGGCACTCTAGATAGACTGTCCGAGAGGAGAAAGACTCTTTAAAAGACTTGGCTTTATCGGCGGATGGCACAACAACAAGTTGGGTCTTGAATGACGAAAATTTTTTGTCTTCAAGAGCTAATTTCGTCACTATAGATATTTGTGAGGAAATATTTTCGTCACCGGTTTCGTCATTGAATGTTTGTCACTAAAAACCAACGTGACGAAAAATAATTTCGTCACCAATAAAATCACTTCAGCGACGAAATTTTTTGTCACCAATAAAACAACATTTTGTCGCCAAAAATTCTCATTTTCATCACCAAATAGTTATTCAGTACCATATTTATAACTTTAGTTGACGAATAAATTTGTCACGCATGTTGATCATTGATGAAGAAATAATTTCGTCACAATAAGAATGTGATCCATATGTATGAAGCAGTGTTTTAAAAATTATACGGGGAGTGAATCAGAAAAGTAATTAGGTGAATAGGTAGCTGGTTTAATTTATATGTATGAAGTAATGTTTTAAAAATTAGATTGGTAGGCAAATCAAAAAAGTGATTAAAGGTTTTGTGACCAGAGATTAGTCATTTA